TTAACTAATCTAAAAATAATTAAGATGTTTTGATATTTAAAATAAGTTCTGCCAATATCTATTGATATAATTATAAAATATAATTTTAAGGATCCAATGATTATTTAAATGTATAGATGATGTCTAGTGATAAAATAGCAACAATCAATTACTAATCTTACTCTAATGCAAATTTAAGGATCTAGAAGAATAAAATAATAATTACATTTTAATAATAGGATTATATATTTTATGGATTGGCTAATTCCTTCATAAAAAGGAGTACATAAATTAATACTTCCTTATTTGAAAAATGTTAATAAATGCTATTTAAGACTTAACTTTCCTAAATTAAAATCTCACTTTCAATTATTTATTATAAAATTATGCAATCCACTTATTTCAATTATTATAGACTCATTTTAATTTCTAAATTCTCATGTTTCAGATCTGATAAATCAATAGGTTATAAAGTTTAATAGATTTAAAGACATAACTTTTTGATAAAATTTTAATCATTATCATATGCATTTGAATATCCCCAAAGATCTTCATTTATAATAATTTTTGATTTGTCTTAGGATAGAAAAACATAATATATATATTAAATGATTTTAGCATTTGTTCTAAAGTATAATAAAAATAATAAGAATGCTTAAAGAGCAACAGCAATATGAAAATGTTACTATATGAATTATCATAATAATTTACATAACCAAATTTGATAACTTAACTTAATTAAATTATAGGTCTCTATATAGCATAATCTAATATTAATTATTCCAAATATTCATTATTTGTAAAGAGATCGTGAATATATTATAATTGTTCTTTTAATTCTTCAGATAATGTTGTTAATTGTTCTTATTATTATCCTTCAAATCTCCACTTGATTTTTTCAACAATCACATTAATCTATTTGATAGTGAGCAAAACTTAATTTCCCAAGTTGAAATAATATTGTAGAAATGGAAAGCTATTGGTATAAGCTATAATATTTTGATTTTTGACTAAAAAAGATATAATTGAATATTACTATTAAGAATATGAAGAACAATTGATCTACTTTTATTTCTCACCATCAATTCAGGATGATTATAGAATCTGATAGCATTCCATAAAAGAGGAAACTATGGATATTTGAGATTAATAAAAAACATAGTCGTAATGTCATCTAATTTCACTGCCAACAAATTTAAAAAGCTGATATATGTTTCTACAATCTCAATATTAGGTTAATATTATTCAAACGAATGTTTCCATAAAACCATATTTGAAATGCTAGAATGGGATAAAATATAATTCTTATTTGTTATTTCCTTTACATTGATCAATAATGAACTTATCTATTCAAAAATCTATAAATATTAATTGATTTTGTCTTACTTCTTAGATTAATTAATGATGACATAATCTTCGTTATAAGATGTCATATAATCTATTGAGAATATCAATTTCCATAAACTATTCAAATAATTACTTATGCAATTCATTATCTCCTTTAATAGCATATAGGATGATTTATTTAATGACAGGGATGATTTTGGTAGGATTGGTTGGTTCATTTTAGTATTTAATTAAATCACTAACCAAAATAAGAAAATGTTCTTGATCTGACTGATTTTGTGTGATAGGCTCTTATTATTCTGTTGTAGATGTTTTAAGATAATTAAGAAATTTTTTCATTATTAATTATTAATCATTATTATATAATTATTGAAAAAAAAAATATTAATAATACAGAATATATAAATCATAAGAGTGAGAGTTTCACATGTACACAGTAAGATCGAATATTCTTGGTTATGTGAATATATGTGTTTTTTATTTGGAATTATTTATATTATCACTTAATAAAAATAATTAACGAAATGAGTCAATCAACAGCAAAAAACTTAAGGGATTTGTTGATTAAACAACAACTCAATAGTAAAATCAAATTTAAAGGGGAACCAGTCAATAAAATACAACCAACTAGAAAATAATCTGGAAATTGGGATAAAAAAGTTGATATATCTCAATGTTCTTGTAATTAAAAGAATTGTACTGTGTGTATGAAGAAAAGAGTAGTGATTAATGCTTCACCTCTTTTAAAAGTTAAGGTAGCAACTAAAAATTAAGCTTGTGATCAAGATAGTAGAAGAGAAATTAAAGTAACAAGTTCAGTTTCTGCTCATTAATCTCCTAACCGCGAGAAATAGTATTAAATGCAATAAATGTTCTTATAAAAGTAATTACAAAGTCACTTACAATAATTACAAGAATCTCGTCCATAGTCTAAATAAGCTTCTAAAGAACAAAGTAAAAAGCCATAATTTTATCATAATATGGAAAATTTTTTAAATAACTATTATCAAAAAGGAAATTTAAGTAATTCATAGTTGTATGAGAACAGTTATAATGTTAAATCCAAAGTCATTCCAAAAAGAATTGAATCAAAAAGTCATGTCCTTAGCAACACTTAAACTTCTTTTAAATTAAAATTAAATCAACAAGGTCCTAAATTTTCAGCTGTATCTTATTCATTAATAAATTAGATTATTAATTCTGGATTAGTTGAATCAGCTCCAAATTCTCCAAATAATCATGAAAATTCTACAAAGAGCAAAATTACTCCAAATGATTCTATCTCGAAAAGTAAAATCAATTAAAATGATTCGAAATCCAGTGAAATCAGAAGAAAATCTACAGGAGAAATCTCTGAAAAAACTCAAGTTCTCGGCTTAAAAATAGATGAATAGGTTGGTAGATTACATTTTAAATTTCTATATGTTATTGGAAAAGGAGGTTTTGGAAGAGTTTGGAGAGTTGAAATGAAAAAGAATAAAAAATTATTTGCTTTAAAAGAAATGTCAAAAGCTAAAGTAATATAAAAAAGAAGTGTAAATTCAGTTTTGAATGAAAAATATCTTTTAGAACACTTACATCATCCCTTTTTAGTTAATATGTGGTATGCATTTTAAGATAGAGAAAATCTATTTTTAATTATAGATCTATTAACTGGAGGAGATCTCAGATTTCATTTAGGTAAAATGAGAAGATTTAATGAAGCATAAACAAGTATATACAAATACAAATATTATTAGAATTTTTCGTTGCTTGTATTTTATTGGCTCTAACCTATCTTCATTAAAATGGAATTATACATAGAGATCTTAAACCTGAAAATTTAGTATTGGATGAAGATGGTTACATGAGATTAACAGATTTAGGAATAGCTAGAATGAATAAAGGAAATAATGCTGGAGATACTTCAGGAACACCTGGTTATATGGCTCCAGAAGTCATGTGTAGGATGGATCACTCTGTTGTAGCTGATTATTATGCATTGGGTGTTATTACATATGAATTAATGTTGGGAAGAAGACCATATAATGGAAGAACCCGATAAGATATCAGAGAATAAATTCTAGCCAAATAAGTTTAAGTTAAAAAGGAGGAATTACCTTTAGGATGGAGTGAAAATTCTCTTGATTTTGTGAATTAGGTAAAATCTTTATATTAATGTTTAGTTAATTCTAAGAAAACCTGAAAGGAGATTAGGTAGTAATGGAATTGAAGAAATCTTACATCATCCTTGGTTAAAAGGTTATCCATGGGATGATTTACTAAAGAAGAAGGTTTAAGCACTTTATATACCTGGGGTATTAGTTCTTTTTATGTAAAGGCTGTTGATGACAATTTCGATTTTTAAAATTAGATTTCTGAAGAAACACAATTAAATGATGAATAATTATTAGAAAATTAAACTCTTTTAAGAAGAGATACGGTTCAATGTATAATAAATGAATAAATAAATTAGCGTTATTTGAAGGATATCATTATGACATAGAACTAAAGAATATTTAACATCAATAGACATAAAAGAATCATTCACAAAGAAAATCATAACCTGTTTCTCCTGAAAAAAAAGTATGATGTCAACAATATATTATTATTGATATTAATTTTGAATAATCTGTAATAGTTCTTTTATATAATTAAAATAAATTAAAATGAAACTTAAATAAATCAGAAAATTTGATAATTGAAATTCTTTAATATGTGTCAAAAAGATATTAAAGTACATTAATATTGATCTTAATAATAAATTATATAAAGAAATTTAAGAGAATTGAACACTATTTATGATATTTTACTAATATTTTTTAATAATAATAATGAATTATAAAATCTAAATAATTATATTAAAATATATAAGATTAATTCATTTTGCTTTATTTTAATTTTTATTTGAACCATCTTTCATTCCTTAGATCATTTTAACACTCCAAAAACCTCCTCCAAATATTGCAACAAACAAAACCAAAAAGAATGCATAATGAAAATAATTTGGTTTTGTTAGTAAAGTAGATTAAGCTTAATTTGTTTTATATGCATCTTACCAATCTTTTTCAACCTATTATGTTTACTTATATTATTATTTAATTTAATTTTATTTGTTTAATTCACCTAAGTCCTTCTCCATTTTTTTGATAATTCTCAATAATGTTTCTTCTTCTTTAGTTAATTTAAATTCTATTCCAATATATTATTTATAATCAAAATCCTTTACAACATCCTTATAACTTAAAGTTAAATAATTCTTCAACATTATTAATTAAAAATTACTTCATTATTAATATCAATCAAAGATTCACATTACAAAATCATAGACATTTATATTTTATGAAAGATCAATGTTTTATTAGCATTTTCTACACTTTGAATAATTTTGCCCATATAATCTTTTTCATTATTAATATCCTTAATAGTTTTCATCCAACAAGCACCAATTTTTTTAGAGAGTCTAAATAAACATAATAAGTTACTCTTCTTCTTCTATGTCTTATCCAAGTGTTAGAACAAATAATAAAAACGCTAATTAAATCATAAACGTGTATAAATTAATTATAAATATTATAAATGAGTTAAAAAGCTAATTAAAATGTAAAATTCTTGAACTCTTTATAATTAATAGAAATGAATATATTGATATTATATAAATTGATTAGAATTGATAATATAAATTATCAGCATTAATGATTTATAAATTAATTGGAATTTCAGGTTATCTTATTTATCTAATCTACTTTACTAAGTTTTTAGAATGGATTTGGCCTAATGAGATACAAAATAGTAATATATTAATGTAATTTAGAAAAACTATTTTTTATTTTGGTAATGGTAGTTGTTCAAAATGTAATTTAAGTTGTTGTTTGTGCATATTATTAGATATTTTATTCAATGAATCATCCATTCTTTGAATAATTTAAATTAGTATAGGTATATTAATAATTAAATAAGAAACCTTGGCCTTGGGAAAAAAATAAAGAAGAATGGAAAATAATGAAAATAAAAACTTTGAAATCAATTATATTAAATTAATCTCTTGCTGCTTTACTTGTTTCAGTGATACCTCCATTTGAATGTAGAATGGATACTAGTAGTTTTCCAAGTTACTTTGAAATTATGAAACATGTCATTATATGTCATCTTAGTGAAGATTTCATATTTTATTGGAGTCATAGAATTTTACATTTACCAGGATTGTACCCAAAGATACATAAAATACATCATTAATATAATGTTTCAAGTAAGTTTTTAACTAAAATTAGTTGCCATTGCANGATTAAGCTTAATTTGTTTTATATGCATCTTACCAATCTTTTTCAACCTATTATGTTTACTTATATTATTATTTAATTTAATTTTATTTGTTTAATTCACCTAAGTCCTTCTCCATTTTTTTGATAATTCTCAATAATGTTTCTTCTTCTTTAGTTAATTTAAATTCTATTCCAATATATTATTTATAATCAAAATCCTTTACAACATCCTTATAACTTAAAGTTAAATAATTCTTCAACATTATTAATTAAAAATTACTTCATTATTAATATCAATCAAAGATTCACATTACAAAATCATAGACATTTATATTTTATGAAAGATCAATGTTTTATTAGCATTTTCTACACTTTGAATAATTTTGCCCATATAATCTTTTTCATTATTAATATCCTTAATAGTTTTCATCCAACAAGCACCAATTTTTTTAGAGAGTCTAAATAAACATAATAAGTTACTCTTCTTCTTCTATGTCTTATCCAAGTGTTAGAACAAATAATAAAAACGCTAATTAAATCATAAACGTGTATAAATTAATTATAAATATTATAAATGAGTTAAAAAGCTAATTAAAATGTAAAATTCTTGAACTCTTTATAATTAATAGAAATGAATATATTGATATTATATAAATTGATTAGAATTGATAATATAAATTATCAGCATTAATGATTTATAAATTAATTGGAATTTCAGGTTATCTTATTTATCTAATCTACTTTACTAAGTTTTTAGAATGGATTTGGCCTAATGAGATACAAAATAGTAATATATTAATGTAATTTAGAAAAACTATTTTTTATTTTGGTAATGGTAGTTGTTCAAAATGTAATTTAAGTTGTTGTTTGTGCATATTATTAGATATTTTATTCAATGAATCATCCATTCTTTGAATAATTTAAATTAGTATAGGTATATTAATAATTAAATAAGAAACCTTGGCCTTGGGAAAAAAATAAAGAAGAATGGAAAATAATGAAAATAAAAACTTTGAAATCAATTATATTAAATTAATCTCTTGCTGCTTTACTTGTTTCAGTGATACCTCCATTTGAATGTAGAATGGATACTAGTAGTTTTCCAAGTTACTTTGAAATTATGAAACATGTCATTATATGTCATCTTAGTGAAGATTTCATATTTTATTGGAGTCATAGAATTTTACATTTACCAGGATTGTACCCAAAGATACATAAAATACATCATTAATATAATGTTTCAAGTAAGTTTTTAACTAAAATTAGTTGCCATTGCAACTGAATATGCACATCCAATTGAATTTATTTCAAGTAATATTATGCCAATATTTTCTGGTCCTTATTTATTAGGTGATCAAATTCATTGCATAACAATATTAATTTATGTTGGATTGCATTTATCAAAAGCTATACATCAACATTGTGGATATGTTTTCCCTTGGGAACTATATAATTATTTGCCATTTGCCACAAATTCAATACATCATGGATTACATCATAGTGAAAACAATGGTAATTATGGATCCCAATTTATTCTGTTTGATAAAATATTTGGCACTTGTATTGAATATAAAGTAAAGTGAAATCTATCAATGATAATTTTTTAACATTTGATTTAATTATTAATATATATATATATATATTACAGTTAATGAATAAGTCAAGAGATTGGAATATTGTAGATGATGAATTAAATAGAAAATTAAAATAGTTATAAGAAATAAGAACATAATTAGATGACTAATCAACTGAATAGCTATTGTAAAATAAGGATTAGAATTAGGGTATTCATAATCTAATTCAAATTTAGAGTATAATAGCGATGTTAATTATTATAAGGAGTTTTGGAGATATTATATTCTAAATGAAATGGCTATAAAAAAAGTCAATGAACTTCATTCTTAAAATTAAAAATTGCATGAATTAATAGGAGATATTGATGTAAACCTAAGTGATATTATTAAGAAATTATAATAAGAATTACATATTGCTTTAAGTTATCGTCATAAAAAGAAAAATAGAAGAACATCTTAAGAGATTGAGAAGAGTTTTGTTTGTCCTTATGAAAAATGCAATAAATAGTATGGAAGTGATGTTTCTTTGAATTTACATATTAAATTAAAACATGATGGAGGTAATAAAACTGATAGAGAAAAGTTTGCTGTAAATACATTTCCTATTCTTTCATTAGAAGATGATTATTGAAGCTCAGTAAAATGGAGAAACCATTACAGATTTGAATATTAATATTAAATTTCCTCCTGGTTATTTAGATGTAATATTAAATATTATATTATAGTAATTTAAGAATCAATTTTTGAACACTTAATAAAATTAGTTAAATTAAGAAAGAAAGTCAATCGAATAAGATTGAAATTAAATTAAATTATATTTATTCTTGTTTTTAAAATTAGAATTTTATCCTTTTATTTTTTACAATAATTATTAAGTCTCCTTTATATTATATATATATATATAATAATTACTATATATCAATATTTTTATTTAATTGAAATAATAATATATATTAATTATTATTATATATTAAATTTATGTTTCCATTGATTATTCTTATTTAGATTACTCTTCAATAATAATTAACACATTAAACTTTGAGACCTTAAAAAATAAATTAAGAATTGATTTCTGATAGAATGGATTGCAAATATAATCAATCAATAATTAGTGATATTTGTAATAATTGCAAAGCTAAACATGCTTATATATTAGATGAATAGAATTGGTTAATTTTTGGTGTATATCATGAATTTGGGTACATATTAATTATTAAAGAAGTAAAGAATATAAAGAATTGATTGAATCAATCTAAAAATATTATTAAAAAGGAATCATTTATGCAACTTTTAATTAAGAATTTATATGTTTATCCATTTAAGATGCAAATGTAAATTTAGAAGAATTTCTAAACAATATGTACTATTATTAATTACCAAAATCATTTTATCCATTAGATAAACGTACCTTTATTATTTTATTAGGTCTGTAAATTGCATAAAAAGTGAAATAGATGTGAGATACAATTAAACTAATAATAATTTTACAATTACTAATTTTGTTTTTAATGGTTATTCTTAGACAGATCGTTATCTATCACAATTAACTAATTATAATGTAACCATAAATAATCATAATGTATATTTAATATTAATTATAGGTTACCTTAAATAAATCAGGTATACTTTTAGATAATTCTTAAACAAACTAAATCTAATTATATTAAAATGTAGTTGGATCAAAATATTTAAATGAGGTATTAAAACTACACTTTTAATAATTTGAATAAGGTATCTAAGGTTTTATACATGAAAATTTTTCACCCTATTATTAAGATGTTATTAATATTTAAAGAATGAAAAATCTTAAAAGTGAATTAACAGTAAAAATTTTAAAAGAAAAAAATGCTAATAAAAAAAAATATAATTTATACTTAAGTTTTGATTGAGAATATATTTAAATAGTTTTATTCATATGAAATAATTAAATATCCAAATATTTATTGAATATATTATAAATATATATCAAAATAATAATTATTCTTATTTATTTTAATAATATAAATTCTTTATAAAAAGTAATAAATTATTAATAGTAATTTTAATAAAAAGATTATAATCCAATTTATAGGATTCATTATTATTATTAATTATCAACATTTTTCTTTTTTAATAAATCTGCATTTTCATCTTCATCTGCATCAAGATCATCAAGCATTGGTTTTTGTATATCAATTTCACCTTCTTAATTTTCTTATTCTTCATCATCACTTTCTTCTTTCTTTTTAATTTCATCTAAATTTTAACAATAAGAATATCCAAGAATTAAACGAACACAAACAATCTTACATATTTAATATAATATATTACTCTATTTGGATAATTAAAAATCTTTCCTGCAAGATTAAAAATAATTTTATTATCTCTTCTCATAAAAAAAGGTTCCATATTTTCAACTATGACTGATCTAATTTTTTCAGACTATTATTAATATTATATTTATACTTCAGTATAATTAAATCTCATTGGAAGTAGACATAAATGTGTATTTAAAGGTAACATTGCTTTGACTTCTTTTTTCCATTACTCAATAATCTCTTCATAATTTCTACTTTTATATATATGATTCCATTTAGCAACCATTTCATCATCATGTTTTTATTAAACTACTTTTATTGTTCTAAATGTAGTTTTATATTCTAATATTTTTAAATATTATTCCATTTTTTTATTTATTCCATCTAAATCATGTTTCCATTTAGTAAAAAGTGAACTTTTCCCTCTTGCTTTTTCTACTCCTTATTTTACTTCCATAAATATATCCTCTAATAATCTTTTAATTCTATTCTTTTTTATTGGTTCTTTAAGTATTTAAGCTGAATAAAATGCACCTACTTTTTAATTCCAAGTTTTTTAAATAAATTCTTCATTCTTCTATTTCATTTAATCTTCAAGTTCTTCTTCATCAATTTATATATTAGTATCATCATCATCATCTTCTTCTTCTTCACTTTCTTCCTTTTCCTCTGTATTTGGAATAGTCTCTTTAATAAATGGATACCATAATTTTTTATCATGCAAATGATAGAAAATTTCTTAAGGTTTCTAATTAGCCATATTACCAAATCTATATTTAAAATATATAATTACATATTTTTATTATTAAAAATAATCTCAATAGTCTCATAAGGTAATTATCCATGATCAACTACTCTAATAAAATAAAATATTAAATATACTCTTTTCCATTTTTATCAAAAAAACGATCAATTTTTGAAAATTTAGCAATAGGATTGGCTCTTAAGATTTCATCCTCAGCTTCTTACTTTTTAGCAATAGCACTTTATTTATCTGTCTCTCTATATACAAACAAAGGATTAGTAAATGTCTTTTTTTATCCAATTGATCCTGCTCCTTTGATTGTAGATGATTTCTTGGGATCCTCTTCTTATTCACTAGATCTTTCCTTTGATTATTTAATTTCTCCCATTTATCTTGGATTTTTTAATTTGATATTTCCATTTAATTTTTCTAATTATATTGTTTCTATAACTTATTCATCTTAATCAGCTCTACCATCATCTTCAGGTTAAAATGTAGCATTATTTCTGGCTTTCCTTCTCTTTTCTTCTGCTTCTTTTTATTATTACATTAAAATATCATTTTATTTTTATTTTTTTAATGCTTCCTCTTATTATTTCTTTTCTATTTCTTTTTTCTTTTATTCAAGTAATAACTTTCTCTTTGATATTGGTTTCTTTTTATCTTTACCTAAATTACCTAAAGCACCTAATCCAAATCCACCATCTTTTTTAGTTACTGGTTTTTCAGCATATAAAAACTTTCTTAATGCAGCTCTTTTATCTTTTCTAATTCTTCCATCTAAATGCAAATGAAAATCTTCTTAAACATCCCAAAAAGTTATACCAGATAAATCATGTGAAAATACCATAAGCCATGCATGAAATTAAGAATTATGTTTAAGTGTACCTAAACAAACAAAAACTCTATGTTCAAATGGAATATATTTATGAAAATCCTTATCATGTTATCTTTTTTTATCTTCTCTCTCAAATCCCATAAATAAACAAGCTCCTAAGATTGCATGATCATGAATAAAACCTTTTCTTATTTTCAATAAGAAATCAGGTGATCTCCAAACATCACTTCTTGAAAAAGAATCTTATATAAATGGTATATTTCTAACAAAATGACACATTTCATGTAAATTTTTCATTCTAATATCTTTAGGATTAGCAAATAATTCATTTGTTGCTTCTTCACTTTAAAATTTAATATAAAATTTCTCTAAATATTTACAAACTAAATGATAATAATTAAATTAATCTCTAACAAAAATATTCTTAAAAAAAATATTATAAGCAGTCTTTTCCAAACCAAATTATGAAAAATTACCTCTTACATATTTATCCCATGATTAATATTCCTCATTATCTTCATGATCCTTTTTAACTTATAATTAATCTGAAATCTAATATGGATAAATATCATCAGGAACTTCACAAAATTCTTCTAAATTTAATTCTTCAGGTAAATCAGGAGCAAAAAATGCCTGAAAAGTTATTTAAATATGACTAACATTAAACAAACCACTTTCAAATTTCTTAGTAAATGTAGCTTCACGTGTATCAAATTAATATCTTCTATTATCATCAGTTAATAAAGTCTTTTTAAATTTACTTGCTTTCTAAATTTCAGATAAAAATACTCTACAATAACCCAAAGATTCATCACTTAAAATATCTTATCCATCTAACCATAATTGTATTGTAATATCTGGTCTTGATTTCAATTCCTCACGTAATGCATCTATAAGTAAATCTTAATCTGTTTTTTAATTAATTATATCTTCAAAAGTTTTTTCTCTTCTTAATATAGGTATTCTAAAATATAATTCTTCATTATAAGATGGATTTGGATCATTCTTAATCATTCTTGTTGTTTTAGCTTGATCTCTCCATGCAACTGTCAAATAAGTATTAATTACTCCTCTATCATCTGGACTTAATACACTATTCAGTCTATTAATTGTAACTACAAGATAATAT